GCTTAATGTCATTGGCCTTTTTTATATGGAGTTGTGAAACTTTTACGAGACTCTGGGCCCCACCTGTGGTTACAAATTCCAAAAGTGGAGAAGTGGAGAATGTTCCACAGTGTTTCTGAGTTGGAGGAGGTCCTTTGTGGTTTAGCAGTATTTTAAAATATTATTTGTAGGTCAAGCAATACATTCTCATTCATGTTAGCTTGAATGCCTTGCAGGGCTCCTTCAAACAGTCCCACAACTCTCAGACATAATAAAAAGGAACTTACCTTTACTTCCTTACCTTTAAGATTGTTAGGAGTGAAATCTGCTACGGCTTCATTTGTAGTAACATTAACCGCATTAGGTAGAAGAAGTCAGATAAGAAAGCAAGTGTCTAACTGAAAGTGTTCACCTCACTAGGTAATGGAGTATATATTAACAAAGAACATGTTATGTTAAAACACAGTCGTTCACAGTTTTCCACTCTCTCCTAGTTGACTGATCTTTATACATAATAATATTAAACAAAAGAAACAACTTGCACTCACACAGAGCACACTACGCAGGATAGCGTCTCAGAGCCTTTAACAGTGGCGAAGCCTGACGGCCGAGCCGGAGGGGGGGCGTGGCAGGTAAGCACTAAGGTATTTACCTTAAATAATTAAGGTATTTAAAAAATGTAACGACATTTACTGTATTTACACACGTTTATTTAGTCCAGATTAAGTTTCAGTGTTTGCATGTGGACCATATTCAACATACAGCTTAGTCTTTCTTACCACCTACAAGTGAATCACTTAAAAAAGATGTTGTATGATGCTTTTAACCTTCAAAAAAAGCAGTTCCTTTCTCTAATGTGTTCCCTGCATTTTCTCCTGTGAAATGTATTTTTTTTGTACAGCTTTTTCTGCCTCGCCTAGATTTTGTTGGTCTCTGGCAAAGTTTGCACAGGACGTGTTTCTGTTGCCTTCTATTGTGGATTTGAGTTTGAGTTTAAGATGTTGTCAGCAGGCAAAACGGGAAGGAGTTTAAAGACTCGACATCAAGATATTTCTGTTTTTTCTAGCTTTGCATGTGAATGAGATACACAGGCAATTGAGGGAACCAGAGAAGGCTGGGGAAGTGTTAGAATCTGACAGTAAAAGCTATAAAACCCAGAGATTGTACATGGTGTCCCTGTATTCTCCCTGTGCACATTCCATTTTGCTGTCTCTTCCAACAATCAGACGTCAAGTCCCGTCAGTCACTAAGTGCTGGTCTGTCTCCCTCCCCGCTCGGGCTCCCGCTCACTTTGTAAAGTGGAGTCCTGCAGCTCAGTGGTTAGAGCACTTGCCTCGCAAGTGAGAGTTTGATTCCCGGCCAAGCGAAACTTTGGGCAAGTTTACTTACTCCACACGCCTGATAATAATGCCTCAAGAAAAAAAACAATAATAGTCACTCAACCCATGATTATTTGTGGGACACTGCTGTGCGCAATTGGCTGCCGCATTTCGCCCACAAATACACAGTAAATTCACTTCACAGTATATTCTGTGAAGCGCTTTGAGACGTCTCGAAGACGTGAAGAGTGCTGTATCAAATGCAAGGATTATTATTATATAAGGTGGATGAGGGAGAGCATGGTGGAGGAGGATGGTGTGGTTGGCTGTGTCAAATGCAGCAGCGAGATCCAGGAGGACGAGGAGGCAGAGGGAGCTCTGGTCAGATAAGAGAGGACGTCGTTTGTGACTTTGACGAGTGCTGTCTCTGCTATAGGCAGGGTGTAAACCCGGCTGGACGGTCTGGGTGGAATGGAAGGGGGGGGCGCGGAGGACAATGCAGCCAAGTGGATGTTTTCAATCTTTGAGGCAAAGAAGTCTAGGATCTCTTCGTAATTGGCATTTGATTTGAGGATAGACACATCAAACACATCAACTGTGAAAGAACCTCAAATATGGTAGCATCGAATAGATTTGATTGATCATAAAAAAAATCACCACAAAGTGTCCTGGTGAATAACATTTATTTGATGAGCTATTACTATTTCCTTGCCATTTATGTTGACTGCTTGAACTATTTTCATGTATATAGTGAAAACAAAAGATATGTTAAAGCATTTTCTTACCTTTTATAATATTAATTCTAGTTTCTTGTATTTTTAGTGGCTTCTTCCACCCCGCAAATATTTATGGCATTTTAGACTGAAAAGAGTATTTGCCTGCCCAAAAATCCCCAACAGATGAAATTGAGCACAGTGGTGCCTTGCAACCTTCAATAATAAATAAAAGTGCCTGTATAAACAAGTTCAACAAAAAGTAAAGTGAGATCTTGTTTATCTACTATATTAGCTCCCACCACATGGATATTTGAAATTGGCAAAGACTCAAGGTCCAACACATCATTAGTAATTTTTTTTATGTCAAAACTAACATTTTAGGTAGTAAGATGTTAGTGAACAAAGTTCTAGGCAGCTTCAGAACTGAAAACCAATAAATCAATTGCCAGGATAGAAGATCTCAATACTAAAGTACTAACATGGCTTCAAAAAGGATATCTCATGCCTGATCAACCTGCCATTTTGGAGGCAACTTCAAATTTGACAACAGGAATCTAGACAATAGAGTGCTCTGACTTCGAAAAAGCCTTCAATAAAGTATCAAAAGAACTAGATAAATACCAAAAAACGAATCAGCTACAGGATATGATGGAAGAACACTGAGAGAATTGCTCTTTAAAGAGCCAACACAGACGTGATTGACTAAATGGCCTTCTAAGCTATAATGGTTATATATGACACTTTTACAAATTGTCCAAGTCTGTTCCTGCACCCTCCTCCCCCACCCGGCTCAGAGTCAGGCTCGGCCACTGTTAAGCGCTCTAAGATGCTACCCTGCGTGGAGGGCACTATATAAGTGCAAGTTGTTGTTGTATAAGACATGGATGTGGATTTGTAACTAATTGGTGATTGAGGAATCAGATAACACCCAGCTTTATTGGGGGGGGAGAGAGAGAGAGAGAGAACTGGAATCCGAGAAAGTAAGTTCAAATGGCAATGCACCTATCTGGGCTGATTGCCAGCAAAGTAAAATTAATCTGGAGAAATGCAATTACTGCATATTGGAAGTAAAAATAGGTTAGAAGTTTCTAAGGGTTAAGTCTAAAGAACAATTCTTTGAGGAAACGGAAGGTTCCCTTATAATAATAATAATCCTTGCATTTGATATAGCGCTTTTCACATCGGGAGGACGTCCCAAAGCGCTTCACAGAACACACTGTAAAGTGAATTGACTGTATATTTGTGGGCGAACGCGGCAGCCAATTGCGCACAGCAATGTCCCACAAACAGTCGTAGATTGAAAATGACCAATTTATTATTGTTTTTGTTTTTGGAGGGATTATTATTAGGCTCTGTGTGGAGTAAGGAAACTTGCCCAAGGTTTCGCCCTCTGCCTGGAATTGAACTCGGGTCTCTCACTTGCAAAGCGAGTGCTCTAACCACTGAGCTACAGGACTCCACAGTGACCTCATGGTGACCATAGCTGTACTCAACACGTCAGATAGTTTGACTAGAGCAGTGGTGGCTGACAACATATTTTTTTTTGATTGAATATTTGTTGATATATGGCCATACCATAAATATTGCTACTCAGTAGCTACTGGAAACAACATATTGATTTCACATAGACTTACCTAGACCGGTGTGATTGTTCAGCAGGCAACTTCTTGACACCCCATGGGCTACTTTAGTCCTATGGGCCAAAAGCATGACTTCTAGGAGTTTGAACTCAACTCATTTTGTGGAATGTAGCCCAGCATCCTATTCACTTTATGTTTACCACACTGTTGCTCAGTATCAAGCGGATAAATGCCCCTAAACTGCCCAACAAGTGGATACACTTACGAGAAGCGCAACAAAGCTTCTCTCTAGTCAGGGCAAGGGACTCGTGTAAGAAACACTTTGATGCTATAAGTGGAAAACTTTTGGGTTGGTATTCTGGAATAAAGAAGTTGAATGGGCCTAACATCCTCTTCATTCAAATTGCTCTTGTTGTCTTGTGAACTGTTTGTGGATGGCTGTAGTAAGACTGTGCAGACTGGCACTAAATAAATCAACCTCCCTCCACCAAAAGTACACAAAGTAGGTTTTTGTTTTACATAAAGACCCTCACAGATTACTTACTGTACAATCAACCACTAGGGGGGAATCTAAAATGCAGGAGAATCTGAACTAAAATAAGGGGAAAAGAGTCAGGAAGCAAGCAAAGTTAGTATGCCCAGAGTGAGAGAAACAGAAACAATACTTAAGATTTATTTATAATATCCTGTAAAAATAATGTCAGATAATCAAACTTCCACTGATATACTGAAAAGAAAATGCAGAATTATTTTTAGTTTTAGCAAGTTGAACAAGAGTTCACATTCCTTATAGATGTTATCTGAACCCATTGATTGCTTCACAGCACTTGTTTTAATTCATTTCAGACTGTATGTATACACAAATGTAGCAGTTGGGAGTTTAACTTTTGAGGAATAGCTCAAATCATGCAGAACAGTATACAAAGCAAATCAATGATCGACACCTTTAGTGAATTTGTTTCTTGTATTATCTGCACACCTTCAGTGTGATTAGGAAAAACTTCCAGGATATTGGCTCAATTCCCAAATCATCTTCCACTTTGTTGGGTGATCCTGGAATCAGAGAGCTAATTCACCAGCTGTGATTTTCATTAAGTGACTCATTTTCTGAGGCATTACCTGAATATCTGTATATGTATTTCAAGTTACCAGATGTGTTTGTGCTCCAATTTCAAAATGATTGACCTTATTAAGAGTCCTTGCATCCCAGAATCTCTGATCAGATGTTAGTTTCCAGTGAGTTTCCATTGTGCAATGTCATTTAAATCGCAGGTTGCAAATAATGTATGGAGATAACATTCAAGGTTTTGTTTCACCAGGAAAGACCTAATTACTCAAGCTGATTTTTTATCAAACCTTCTCCGGTTTTATGCAGATAGATACCAATGAATACAAATCACAAAGCATCAAGACAAAAGTAAACTTTATTGATCTGGTAAAAGGGTAATACAGGTACAAGCCATTCATTTTGCTGTAAGATACAAATGTCTCCACTACTTGGTACATAGTCCAATAGAAGTAAAAGGAATTTCCGTTTAGCTAGCAAGTGTGATGACTTATGAACTAGTTACGATAATTGACCACCACAAAGATAACCCGCATCTTTAATCTATGTAAACATTCCTCACATATTTGAATTTCATTTCAGCTGAATCTGCAATGCATCAAGTGAATTCTTCCCATTTCCCTACCCCCAGAAACGGTTTTACATCACACCTCAAAATTTAGAAGCCAATTTCAAGTATTTTTCCAATCATACACATGTTACAATTTTACCAGTGCATGTATCATAATTGTATTTTAGTTGTTGCATAAGTAATGCATAGAGCAAAACATATTGTGCTTAGTGGACTACAGTTTCTATTGTAAAACTCAAATTACGTTAAAAAATCATAAACCAAATGCTAAAAATAAACATAATGAAGGATCCCTCCCACCAGAAGCTTGGACTTTCACAAGATGAATGCCTTGTTCTGCATTTCTAGCAGGTTTTCTTTTTATGCAGCATGTAGTGGTTTGTCATACAATTGGCAGCGATAGAACAAACTACAATTTGTCCTTTTCATCCCAGACAACTTAAAAAGTCCAAAAGATAGCTCTTTATGGTGAATCCAAACACTGCAGCGATTTGTGAGTGAGATGATCCAAATTGGTTTCTACCATGTTATATGTTAGAAATCCAGGCTACAAAACATTATAAATGACTACAAAGTGCAAAGTTGGTCAGATAATGCTAAATACTTGGTAAACGAGGGGGATGAAACGAGAAAGGAATGCTGGAATGGAAAAGCTGACGACGTTCTTCATGAAGTTCTGTTAAAACATTTGTTTTAGTTGTCATAATACTGCAACAGCAAAAATCATCCTACAAGCTTATGGTGGCTCCACTATTCAACAGACATCTAAATAAATACAAAATACCCCCAAAAATAGTTAGTGATCTCTTTTTACTGTTTATAAGGTATAATCAGATATACAAAGAATAGTTTCAGAGCACAGATTGTACAAAGTTACTGTTTTGTCTTAAATAATTCACTTAAATAGTAGCAAGTGGACAATAGTCCCCTCACAAAAGGTACCGGAATGTAAATGGAAAATTGTACAGGAAACACGTTGAATTTAAACATAAATTAAACACAAAATAATCCATCTTTTTCTATGTCTGTGGGGTGGGGGTGTGGGGGGGAGGGGAGAAGGGAGGCTTTGCTGCAAAATACATCAGAGTAAATTATCCCCATCAAACTTTTTTTTGCAATTAAACAATATCAATTGATTCCTTTTATCTATTTGGTAAACAATTGGTGTGGTAAGCTTTTTTTGAATAAAAAAAGTTCCAAACTGGAAGCCGTGAATTTTATTTAAATGAGGGCAGGTTTGGCACTTTTATGCTGATGTCTCCGATGTTAATATTTCGAGGAATTTCGGGAAGGTTGATATTCTTTACTGCTGACACAGCTCTGGCTGGAGCTCCTGCTAGACCAGCCTACATAAAGATGCAAATTAAAAAAAACAATTGTGAATAAGAGTGCTGAACACAAAAGTGGAATTCAGAAACTGATCCAATGAAACAAGCTTAAGAACTCTTGCGTTTTTTAAAAATGGGTTTCTAAAGTTTATAATGCAAGTTATCACCACTTAATCCTCAGACTGGAAACCATACCTCAGGCACCTGAAATATTTGAGTATTGTAAGTCTGTTTAGTTAGTGGACTAAGATAGTTTGAATATCAATTTGCTTAAAAGCCCAAGAAGGTTTCTAGAGAAAAATATAGAAAAGGTTTGAGTTTTTGCATTCGTGTAGAGTTGAACCATAAGATATTATGCCTCTGTATATTTATGGTCATCTCTACAAAAACTGGCAACAACTTTATTTTGTTTTGGTCAAAAATATTTTAAGATATGAAGCCCAGAATATTGCTTCAAAGGAAACTGGAAGTATTCCCACCTTTCTCCCCCCATGTATATTCCATATCTGTATTAACAGATTCAGAACAAAATATGTCAAACGTGGGAGATCTAACTCTTTGGTAGTTAATCTATTACTGTGTGGATATTTGTTAAACTGGGGTGCACAGAATTAATACTTTATATGAATAAAAGATATGCTGAAAATTCATTTGGATCCGAATGGTATGAAGCATTAACATCTTAGTGATTTGTAGGGGATTCATGATATTACAGATTTATTCCGAGATAACAAAGGTGATTAAAGTTCTAGGCAGCCAATTTAAATCCATGGAGCATTCAACAGAGTATGTCAGAACCCACATAATTGTTAAATGCTAACCTGCATAAATATCAATGTCAGACAAATTAAAGGAAACATTTCTGGGCTTCAATTGGGCTATTTCTGCCACAGATAGAGGTAGGATTTCTGTCCTGAACCACAGTTGCACCAAAACCCTTTTGTTATGCTTTCCTCGATTTATCATAGGCTTGGGTAAAAAAAAAGTTCAAAAGAGCAAAAGTATTACTTTACGAAATGTTACTAACTACATACAGTCTGAAATGGTTTTGAATGCAACGTATTTATTTGAAACCTTCAATTGGCAATAGGAATTGAGAAGGAAAAAGAAAGTACTTGATTCCAGTTAGCTTCCTCTGTAAATCGTACCGCAAAGCAGCTCTCTGAAATCACTTGGTTAAAAATGGAAAGGTGGCACAGATTAGGAAAACATCAACCCAGCCGACTGCATCCCAGAACTTTTAGGTTAAAGTGTTACAGCACATCTTGAAAGATGTCTTCAAGTACAATAAAAAAAACGAAGAAAGCAAAACAAAACAATGCATCAATACTAATGTGAATCTTAATAAGGCAAACTTCTACACATAATTAAGCATTTTTTATAACTCAAAAAAGAACGACATTTTTCCTATAAGACCTTGTTTCACATATTTATATTAAATCAAACAATCTCTTGAAATCATGCACTAAAAGCAAAAAAGAATGAATTATTGTTGGGCAAGTTCATGCAGTGTTCAAGCAAGGAAGGTTGCAATTACCAACAGCATTAAAGTCTATTTGTGTATATGTAAGGGTTCATACAACACACTAACAAGCTATGCATAAAACTAATGCTTTGCTCACAGCAAATGAAAAATATCAAAAACAACATTTAGAAAAATGTCAATTTTGAAATCACAGAAGATACTAGCTATGTGAACGGTACATAGTTTTATAGCACTACTGTAATTTACTCTTCATGCTTATGAAATGGTTTTATATTATATGAAACCTTAAAAGTGTTCACACATTTTTAAAACAATGTATTTAATTGCATGCGTTGTTTGTGGAATTATATGTAAATAAATGATAAAGTAAACTGAACCCTTTTGTATCGTAAAATTGAGAATAATGCACAATTGACTGGAGGAAAACTACAAGTCATTATGTAAAAATATTATGCTAAAACTTGTCTGGTTTCAAACGTTATATGGATTTAAAGAAACTGTAAATCTGGTGATTCAGGCAAGGTGACTGAGGTTTTAGACAAACAGCTTTGGACCAATATTATTGCAGTATCTTGCCACTTCTTCCATTGCTTTTGTTAAGGTAATGGATGGATGAGAAACATTGTTCATGAATTATTATAAGTTATACCTCTCTCTCCCTCTCCCCCATCTTTAATTTTAAGATTATGGAAAGAGAATTTTGTTAGGTAAATGATGGATGAAAATTGAGATTTGCAAGAAAGATTAGTGTAGCTAGTCAGAGTTCTCTACGGGATATACTGCAATGCATGCAACTACTAGAAAGAGAAAACAAAATGAAGTCTGCAAGTAGGAGAACAAAATGAGGAGAAACCTGTAGGAAGAACTAAAATCTTTGGAATTTAGTTTCTAAACCAAGGAAAGTCCCTAGTGGGAGGTGCATAACAATAAGATGTCTTCTTTCATGGTTCCCCCCAAAGTAACCTATTGTTCTTGTGACATCATTTTGCTTTCTAGTGGTGAGGAGCAACAACAACAAAAGAAATTATGTCTGTCCATTTAGAGGCAGCAGTACCTGAGGAATTACAGTAACAGTATCTATCTGTCCTGTCTGGGAGACTGAAAGATAAAGGTCTGCAAGAGAGAAGAATGGAAAGAGCTAGAAAAGGTCACACGTTTTGGAAAGTGAGGAATGATTTCAAGACCACATTTAGCAAAACAAAAATGTACCATTTATTTTTACACACAAATAGTGGAGAATGAACTGCTCCTACCACAAATAAAAACCATTTTACTCCATTCTGCGTCTGCTAACAGTGCTTTACTGATAGAATCTTAGAAACTCAAATAGTTGCAAATCTTTTCAGGATCGCACACAGTGCATTTCAAAACTAATTTTACGTTTAATTTTATCTTTTAAATTGCCAGCTGCAATTTGAAAACTGGACATTACAATGAAGGCAGTCAATGTCTAAGGTATAGGTATGTCTGTGGGAATGGGTGGGCACATGGGGATGAGGAAGAGGAGGGGGTAAATCTAATAGTGAAGTGAAACACAAGGGCAAATTTGAACTATCGTTTTGTATCTCTGTTCCTCTTTTCAATAGTCAAATTACTATGGATCATGAGAGTTTAAAATCATCTTTCTTCCCGCCAATTTTCATGACTTGAATGCAGACACATTTCATCTCAGAAGATTCAACACTGTACCCAGCAGTTACCAAAAAAAATTGCAGAAGACTCACGTTGACTTACAATGGGGGTCCATCAATCTGGATATTAATCTGGGCAACACAACTTTCACACATGCATCTTCACCAATTCCAATGGGAGACATCGGCGTGAGCCACTTCCAATACATGGTCACCTAACTAAACAAACAAGTACCCCTGCCCTCTTCATCACCCAAAACCTTTTCATTCTACATACCATCAAACAGAAAGCTTTACAAAATAACACTAAGATGCAGTTTTGGGACAGAGCCAGATTACATACATCTGCCACTTTAAAGAATAAAGAGCAGTCAGTTTTACTCTGACTGAAGAGCAGCAGTTAAGTCCCATTGAAAAGCAGTTAGAATGAGAAAGACACATATTTTAGCTATTCTTCAAGAACAATTAGTTCATTCACAAGTGCACTAAGACATCCACCTCAGGCAGGAAAAATAGCACGCTGAATCCGAATTGCGAGCTTGCATACTCACAAAAATCTAAATTGGCCCCAAAGAGTGAACAGGGCACTTTTAAAATAAAATATTCCAAATCATCGAAGCAAGCGGCTTCCATTGTAGAAGATAATCACAAAAAACATAAATCGGAGAATTTAATATCCAATTAACAGGTCATGTAATTTAGTAAGTGGTTCTGGTGAAGTGAAAAGCAACTGAAACCTTCAAATATGTTGATGCCGAGCAAGGTTAGTCTGTCCAAAGCCATCCTAAGGTGGCACTTTTCTGGTTAGCAAGAGCTCAACCATGTGCTTGTTAGATATCCAACAATTGGCTGTCCTCCTTTAGGGAGGGGGCGAAATTTAGTTGGGTCTCTTTGGAACTGAGTTGGCTCCAAGGTAACATCTGGCAATGGAATATCAGAATTAAGTACAGTACTTATTAGAGGACTTGGAGATGGGGTGGGTGGTTCTTTGCACTCGCCTCCTGTTAATTTTTCAAAACAAACTCTAACAGACAGGGTGGTCCAAGCTGCAAAAACAGCAAGACTCTTGCAAGAATCAATAAGTGTTAGCAATGGCAAGCTGTGCAGTTTTAGCTGGTTAAATTCCAGTAGATCTCCCTATTGCACTCTCTGGGATCTACGTGCCTTGGCTCTTGCTAACCTGTACCTAAAGTGACTGGGATTGAGCGAACAGGATGTAGGGGAGAGTACGCATTACACAGCAGACAAACAGAAGCTCTTTTTGGGTACTCATGAGGGTAGTCATGGGTTTGGGTGGGTGTCAGACATTTAGCTGGCCAAAAAAAATGGTTAATGAACCACACTGTAGTACATAAAAACACACCAGGCCCTCAAAATAAAAAGAAACAGATTACTATTCTCTGTAGGCGATACAAAGAACATGAAACCAACGCCTAGCTAGGCAACATGACACCAACCCTTGGCACAAATCCATCAAGAACTTTAAGGCGCCATTAAAACTAACAAACCAGGCACAGTGATTTCCCATTCCAAGGGAGCATCCAGTTTCAAAAGGAATTCATTAAAAATAGATTGAAATTCGTGCAAAGAAAATCTTTCAGAAATCACTAACTAGGGGGCATATCCACAAAGTCATCTTCACTTTCCAAAGACTCCTTTTCTTAGAGGAATCCCTGGGGTAATGAAAAGTCTACAGTCTGAATGTAAGGTAACCTTGTCAATATTTCTCAGGTTATTCAAGAGGTCATGAAATTGAGCAGCCAATTTAATGTTTCAGAGAAGCAAACCAGATTTTCAAGACATTTACACAATCCCTGGACAGATGGAAAATAATCAAACGCAAACACAATAAATTCTTTATATTAAACAGGAGCATTAGTGTGATGAGATTTCCTGCAAGG